ATATTATTTCTGCCAACAAGAGGGAGCAGAGGCTGGCCTGAGTCAGGGCTGGGACCAGGCGAGGGAGGGGAGGGCAGGGAGAGGGCGGGTAGGGAGCGTTTTCCCATAAGAAGCAGATGTACCACACTACGGGACACTCTGCATTACTTACCAGGCTCTGTGTCACTGCTTCAATGTAAGATTTCAAGGTTAATTGTTTACTTATTAATAGCTTATCAGTATCCATGACCCCACTTTCCAGTGGGGGAGCTGGAACCCTCACAGTGGCTCCCAGCTCCTCTGTCCCTCTCCCTTGGCCTACAGACCACACTCCTGAATCTGGGGCCCATTTTGTTGTTGTTGTTGTTTTGCTTTTGGTATCAGGGACTGAATCCAGGGGTGCTTAATGACTGGACCACATCCCTAGCTCCTTTTAAATTTTTTTTTTTTTAAATTTTGATACAGAGTCTAAGTTGCTTAGGGGCTCCCTAAGTTGCTGAAGCTGGCTTTGAACTTGCCATTCTCCTGCCTTAGCCTCCTGAGCCGCTGGGATAACAGGTGTGCTCCACTCACTATGCCCGGCTGTGCCACCGCTCTTTAACAGAGTTTCCCCTCCCTGTAGTCATGGCACCAACTGTGGCCACACTATCAGAATTTGCTGTGTGCTCCAGTTCTTGGTCTCTCTCCACCTCCTGTCTTCATGAAAATTGTTGATATGATCAATAATCCCTATTCTTTAAAAATTCTGAAGGAAATTAAACTGACCAGGAAATTTTCATCTGCCTAAAACCAGTTTTTAAAAAAGTCTTGATGCTGTCGTGTCAGATAGTAGAGTGTGTCAGGAAGGTCATGGAAGGAGATTTTCATATCGTGTGGGGAAAGTCAGATGCCGGTTGATGTCGAAGCCCCCGTTTACTATGAGATTCCACAGTTCTGCGTATCCTGTGTGTTTTATGGAGACAGTCTAGAATGTCCACAAATGCTGTAGCACGCAGTTCTCATTCGTTGGAGAGTAACATCCTGTCACAGTGACACAAGGGTATGACATCTTGTCCCTGCAGGGGCGATGTCTGGAGATAGTGAAGGAGATCACTGCTGGTGAGACAGTGTGGAGTGGCCTGGAAATTACTGCCAGCAGCTGCTCTGAAGAGGTCAGTAGTTACCTGTTCCCACCTGTAACTACTGTGATTAAAGAATTATCCAAACCTAGTGCCCCTGAATATCTGGAACAGTGGCAGGTTCAGGGAGATAAGCTGCAGGACCTTCCCTTGAGGAGTTGACAGTCTGGTTTGGATATAAAATAAATTCAAATGTTAATTAGATAAAGTTAAAGTGTCCCCTGGGTGGCACTGAACAAAAGCAATCAAATAGGACATTTAAGATCATTTTGTGGTCCAGAATAGGTTCATTCTGTAAGAATTGAGCAGAGCCTAAAAACTGCATGGAGTTAAGATTAATGGGGAAAAATGCCATTTCTGAGGGTGTTGGGGGAAAAGGGAAGAAGGAATAGACCCAGGAGAATGAGAGTGTGACATGGGTAATAGAGAGGAGATAGGTGTGCAATGATGGCAGCTTGGGGAGGAACTAGCTAAAGGCAGCAGTGAGAAATAAAGTAGTCCATCTGGCCAGGCAAGATAGTCTCCTGGTATCTTAGTCTGTTTCCTCTTGCTAAAATAAAATACCTGAGGCTGAGTACTTTATAAAGTAAAGAGTTTTATTTAGCTCACAGTTTTGAAAGGTGACACTCCAAGATCAGGCAATTTCATCTGTTCAGCCTCTGGTGAGGGATCCCTGAGCTGTGTCACAACATGGTGGAAACAAAGAAAGGGAAATAGTCACATCCAGAAGAGGCAAAGTAAGAAGGGTGGCCTCATCACAATCTCAAGAACTAACGCACTCTGTGAGGCCAGCATTATTCCCTCCTGAGGGTGGTGCCACCGTGAGCTAATTTCCTCTCACAAGGCTGCACCTCTTCAGGCTCTGCCTCCTCTTAACACTGCTATACTGGGGACCAACCTGATGATCCCACAGCACATGAACTAGGTAAGAWGCCAGGGGTAACTGCTCCAGATAGAAAGAGCTCTGAATGCTGAATGCTGGTGAGCTCCAGTGGTGATCCCCAGAAACAACCAGATGGATCTCTTGGGCACATTGTTTGGGAGGTCTGTGGCCTGATGGAACCACGGATGCTTACAGCCTTATAAGCTTGGAGCAGTGCAATTCCAGACTGCTTGGCTCAACTCCATGCTGAGAGGTCTGGGGCTTGCTGWCATGCCCCTTGGAATAGTCTTCCAATGCTTCTGTTTGTGGCTCAGGAAACCTGTGGCTGCTTCCCAAGGCAACTGTGGTGCAAGGTAACTGTGTGGGCTTTTTTTTTTTTCATCGATGTCTTAATGATGATGAAATTCAGCTGGTCAGAGGGAGAGGAACAAAGACAGACTATAGCTGAAGGGATTCTGACCGTGGAAATGTACAGGGAAGTGTTCCCCTGGGGAGCATGCTCCTGGGGGGTAACAGGCACCYTGTTTCCCACCCTTACAATGCCCTGTAATCTCTCTGAGGATCTAATAATATAGTTAATATGTGTGCAATGTCTAGCTGGTGCAATGCCCTGAGAAGCCTCTGTGTTAGAGCCTCATCAAGCCTTGACCTTGATTGCAGGCACATAGCTCCTGGGAACAGAAGTACTTGTTTGCTTGATAACTACAATGTTTCACTAAGAGCAGACAATGGACTTTCTTGAGAACTACACAAAGCTCCTAATATTACATATTGTAACTGTAGAATGTAACTACAGAATAAACAACCTTACTGATATGCTAAACAAGAATGTAGTTATGGTACTACTGACCTAGTAACCTATTGGTATAAATGAATGTGGCTGCTTGGACAAAGAGCCACTCTGTCACTTTCCTGCCTCTGCACCTTGTCTCTGTCTCCTCTTTATTATTATTCCTTACTTACAGCCTCTAATAACTACTAACATTTTCACTTTAAAATCAACTTTCTAGCTTTTAGTTGTAATTTTATAATGATGCTTTAAGATTTCTATTAAAATTAACAAGGTTATGGCTGGGCATGGTGGAACACACCTGTAATCCCAGCATCTGGGGAGGTTGAGGCAGGAAGATCCYGAGGTCAAAGCCAGTCTCAGCAAAAGTGAGGCACTGAGCAACTCAGTGAGACCCTGTCTCTAAATAAAATATGAATTAGGGCTGGGAATGTGGCTCAGTGTCCAAGTTCCACTTAGTTCAATCCCTGGTACCCCCTCCCCAAATTAACAAGGTTATGTATTAATTTGTCTAGTTAGCTTTTGTTTATTTGGGGCTCAGAGTTTCAGAGGTCTCAGTCCATAGATGRCTGACTCCATTGCTCTGGGCCCAAGGTGAGGCAGCCCTTCATGGGGGAAGGGTGTGGAGAAGGAAATCTGCTCAGGGCATGGTGGGGTCAGAAAGTAGAGGAGAGAGGGGAGAAAGCAGGGGAAGAGACTGCAGGGCTGATGCACCCTTCCAGGACATGCAACCAGTGACCCACCTCCTGCAGCCATACCCCACCTTCCTACAATTACCCATTCAAGCTAGGACATGTTGATTAGCTCACAGCTTTCATAACTGCATCATTTCACCTCTGAATATTCCTGCATCAACAGGAGATTTTGAGGGATGGTTCATATCCAAACCATAACATATGCTGTTCTTCTGGGGGGTTATTTCAGTATCATCAAGCCCACCCCTCCTTTTTTTGGTACAGGGGATTGAACCCAGGGTTTCTCTACCACTGAGTCACATCCTCACCCCTTTTGAAGACTTCTTTATTCTATTTCTTTATTTATTTTGAGACAAGTTTGTACTAAGTTGCTTAGGACCTTGCTAAGTTGCTGAGCCTGGCTTCAGCCTGGCTTCGAATTTGCAATCCTCCCGCCTCATTTCCCAAGTTGCTGAGATTACAGGCATGTGCCACCATGCCTGGCATAAAAAAGAAACAAAAACCAAAAACATAGCAACTTTTGACACAAAACACTTATTAGTAATAAGTGGTCTTTTATGCAGTCTCCTTTTGATTAGGACAATAGCTATTTATTTTAAAATATTTTTTAGTTGTAGACGAACATGATACCTTTATTTTATTTATTTTTATGTGGTGCTGAGGATTGAACCCAGAGCCTCAAATGTCCTAGACAAGCACTCTGCCACTGAGCCACGCCCCCAGTCCAACAATAGCTATTTTAACTTTGAAACTTGATTGACTTATTTTATGTCACCACCCCCACCCCATTTTTCTTTTCTTTAGTCTGATCTGTTTCTCCCATTCTCTCATCTGTTCCTTCACATCTTTTTAGGGCATCTGGGTTTGGACATGTTTTATCCCCATTCTTCATTGTAGCAAAGATTTCAATTTTCTTGCAGGAAGAGCTTGCGGGAAATCAAATAAGGTCTTTTTAGGATTCTGGGTGGCTTGTCCTTTGSCTGTGGTTGATACAGGAGTAGCCTGCCTCATTTTGGGGGAGTCTTACATATCCAGGCAAGCATCATTGCCCTGGGAATATCTTCCTGATACCCGGATGTGGCGCTGGCTTCAGGCTGTCTGGCATCCTGGGGGYCACAGACCCAAGCTGATTCTCTTACTGAGTTTTGTCCTATAGGCAGAGGCTTCAAGTGCATATTATTTCATTTTAATTGTTTTCCATGTATCACAAGGGATGAGGCAACAATTAGTCCCTGCTGGATACAGACCCCCCCCCTTAATCTTAAGACTTCCTAGACTCAAGAACTATAAGAAGTACATCTTGCCAGTTGTAGTGGTGCATGCAAGGGTGTAATCCCAGCAGCTCAGGAGGCTGAGACAGGAGGATTGCAAAGTCAAAGGCAGCCTTGGCAACTTAGCAAGGCTCTAAGCAACTTGGTGAGATCCTGTCTCAAAATAAAAATCCATGGGGATGTGGCTCAGTGTTTAAGTGCTCCTGGGTTCAATTCCTGTACAAACAAAAACAAAAAGAAAAAAAGTACTCTGTTCTCTCTGTTTTATATAAATTATCCAGTCTCAGCCATCCTGAGACTTGATAAAAAAGACAAACAAACAAAACAAAAAACYAAAACAAAAACATATAAGGCAATGTGAGGTAGCTGAGCTATGATTGACATAAAGCAGTGTGATATTTTAGAAAGTGCTGGGAGATATTTTAGATCACATGGCCAGGGATACACATGGTCCTGCTTTGTTTCTGGTACAGACCCTGAAAGAAGCAGAGGAATGGCACCAGGGGGAGCAGTRGTGTCCAAAGAACCTGAACAGGAACCAGCTCAGGGGACAGCATGGAGGTTGATCAGAGTAAGCAAGGGGCGAGGGGAAGAAGTCAGAGAAGCGAGAGACCACAGGGTTTGCAGCTGGGTAGACCAGGATGGAGACTGTGGTGTCATTCTCAGTGACATGGGGAAATTGGAGGACTTGGAGAGAGTTGGGATCCTAATCAACTGACCCTTGGTAGGCTTGCTCTGATTTGGAGAGCTGTGGATCCATTTTCAGGGGTGTAAGAATGGGTTCAAGAAGCCAGTGAGGAGGCTTTGCAGAGACCAGTGCAAGACATCTTCATGTAACCTCAACCATTTTTATGATTTCTGATTCAAGTTGTTATTGAAGTTGAACATCATTATAACATGTGCACAGCTTGCCGGGTGCAGAGGTGCACACCTGCAGTTCCAGCTCCTCAGGAAGCT